CTGTTCGCTTGACTCAACTTATCTATTCTTCAATCACTCTGGGGTTTTCTCGCCAAGCCTATATCTAAAAAAAAGAGGGTGCCTCGAACAAACTAGTTGCGATAAAAATTCATGATCATTCAAGAAACTTCAGCGCGCATGCTCCCAGCATCGCTTGACTTCCCCTGTCGTAACAATACGTACTTTAGCAGGACACAAGACATGGGTTATAATATAGTGACGCATACCTTACTACTTTTGGACACAAGAGGAAAGTTATCTTCATAACTATACACGTTATAAACACGCCTCAATGAAAGATGTTGGTTATTAGTAACATAGCAATCTGTTTTTCTTTCTAGTTCATTGAGTTACTTTTACGATACTGCTTATCTGTGTACTGATACTTGTGTGTTATGCATGTACTGCTATTTTCTGTATAATAAAACATATTCATATATATTTATCAAGCATTTGTTAATCTCCATATCGTACGTTGTGTATACCAAAGTTTGAAAGACAGTACAGTACTTATCATAATTAAATTATAAATTATATTTCAGGTAATGCTAAAACATTGTGTCACTTCTTAGAGAATTGGAACGTAAAATTAATAAAATTTAAATCCAACATTTTTTTTAACTGCGAAAAATTTAAAGTGGGAAATATTAATTACAGACATTTACTGGCAGGACCAACTGACATTCTTACATGGAAGATGTCTTTTTTAGTTGATTAACAACTTAGATCTAGGTAAATTAAAAATTATACCAGCATTTTCTGTAGATGATAAGAAACTAATAGAACAGTTGAATTAGTTTTTTTCTATATTTCATGCTGCAAAATGTAAAGATTGCTTACCTTAATATATTTCTATTCATTCAGTCATTCAGGGCTTACTGATATATTTTTCTTCTTCAGTCTATGAAGGATAAAGATTAGAAAAAAACGATCCGAGTAAAAGACATAATATAAAAAGTTTGGTTATTTTATCTTTTGTATGAACATAAATGAAGTTCGCCCCTGTTAAAAAGTTAAAAATTAAATAAACTTTTAAAAAATGGAGACAGACGTTTTTAATAATAATAAAGAATTTCGTTTGTGGCAAGTATTCATTCAAAGCTCATCTGTTTGATTACAATGTCAAGTTTTCATTCAAAGCTCATATGTTAGATTACACTGGCAAGTTTATATTCGAAGCTCATCTGTTTGATTACACTGGCAAGTTTCCATTCGAAGCTCATCTGTTTGATTACACTGGCAAGTTTTCATTCGAAGCACATCTGTTCGATTACACTGGCAAGTATTCATTAGAAGCTCATCTGTTCAATTACACAGGCAAGTTTTCATTCGAAGCACATCTGTTCGATTACACTGGCAAGTATTCATTAGAAGCTCATCTGTTCAATTACACAGGCAAGTTTTCATTCGAAGCACATCTGTTCAATTACACAGTCAAGTTTTCATTCGAAGCACATCTGTTCG